ACACTTGCATTGTCCCAAGCCTAAACCAGGAAGAAGTCAAAACCATGAATAGACCAATAACAAGGCCTGAAGTTGAGGCAGCACTTAAGAGCCTATCACACAAAAAAAGCCCAGGTCCAGATGGGTTCACAGCTGAATTCTACCAGACATACAAAGAGGAGCTGGTACCATTCCTTCTGAAACTATTTCAAATAATCCAAAAAGAGGGAATCCTTCCCAAATCATTTTATGAGACCAACATCATCCTGTTACCAAAACCCGGCAGAGACGCAACAAGAAAAGAAAACGTCAGGCCAATATCCATGATGAACATAGATGCAAAAATCTTCAATAACATACTGGCAAGCCAACTGCAACAGCACTCCAAAAAGCTTATCCACCATGATCAAGCAGGATTCATCCCAGGGATGCAAGGCTGGTTCAACATACACAAGTCTATAAATGTAATTCACCACATAAACAGAACCAAAGACAACAACCACATGATGAACTCAACTGATACAAAGAAGGCCTTGACAAAATTAAACAGCCCTTTATGCTAAAAACCCTCAATAAACTAGTATTGACGGAACATATCTCAAAATAATAAAAGCTATTTATTACAAACCAACAGCCAATATCATACTGAATGGGAAAAACCTGGAAGCATTCCCTTTGAAATCTGGCACTAGACAAGGATGCCCTCTCTTACCACTCCTATTCAACATAGTACTGGAAGTTCTAGCCAGAGCAATCAGGAAAGAAAAAGAAATAAAGGGTATTCAAATAGGAAAAGAGGAAGCCAAACTGTCTCTATTTGCAGATGACATGATTGTATATCTAGAAGACCCCATCGTCTCAGCCCAAAATCTCCTGAAACTGATAAGCAACTTCCACAAAGTCTCAGGATACAAAATCAATGTGCAAAAATCACAAGCATTCCTAAACACCAATAACAGACTTAAAGAGAGCCAAATCAAGAACGAACTGCCATTCACAATTGCTACAAAGAGAATAAAATATCTAGGAATACAACTAATAAGGAATGTAAAGGACATCTTCAAGGAGAACTACAAACCACTGCCCAACGAAATCAGAGAGGACACAAACAGATGGGAAAACATTCCATGTTCATGGTTAGGAAGAATCAATATCGTGAAAATGGCCATACTGCCCAAAGTAATTTACAGATTCAATGCTGTCTGTAAATAGCTATCATTTTTGATGGCTGCATAATATTCCATGGTGTCCCCATCAAGCTACCAATGACCTTCTTCACAGAACTGGAAAAAACCACTTTAAGCTTCATACAGAACCAAAAGAGAGCCCGCATAGCCAAGTCAATTCTAAGCAAAAAGAACAAAGCGGGAGGCATCACACTACTTGACTTCAAATTATACTACAAGGCTACAGTAATCAAAACAGCATGGTACTGGTACCAAAACAAAGATACAGACCAATGGAACAGAACAGAGGCATCGGAGGCAACGCCACACATCTACAACCATCTGATCTTTGACAAACATGACAAAAACAAGCAATGGGGAAAGGATTCCCTGTTTAATAAATGGTGTTGGGAAAACAGGCTAGCCATGTGCAGAAAGCAGAAACTGGACCCCTTCCTGACACCTTACACTAAAATTAACTCCAGATGGATTATAGACTTAAACATAAGACCTGGCACCATAAAAACCCTAGAAGAAAATCTAGGCAAAACCATTCAGGACATAGGAGTAGGCAAGGACTTCATGACCAAAACACCAAAAGCACTGGCAACAAAAGCCAAAATAGACAAATGGGACCTAATCAAACTCCACAGCTTCTGCATAGCAAAAGAAACAGTCATTAGAGTGAATCAGCAATCAACAGAATGGGAAAAATTTTTTACAGTTTACCCATCTGAAAATGGGCTGATATCCAGAATCTACAAAGAAGTAAAACAGATTTACAAGAAAACAAACAAACAAACCCATTCAAAAGTGGGCGAAGGATATGAATGGACACTTTACAAAAGAAGACATATATGAGGCCAACAAACATGAAAAAATGCTCATCATCACTGGTCATTAGAGAAATGCAAATCAAAACTACACTGAGATACCATCTCATGCCCATTAGAATGGCAATCATTAAAAAATCTGGAGACAATAGATGCTGGAGAGGATGTGGAGAAATAGGAACACTGTTACACTGTTGGTGGGAGTGTAAATTCGTTCAACCATTGTGGAAGACAGTGTGGAGATTCCTCAAGGACCTAGAAATAGAAATTCCATTTGACCCAGCAATTCCATTACTGGGTATATATCCAAAGGATTATAAATCGTTCTACTATAAGGACACATGCACACGAATGTTCACTGCAGCACTGTTTACAATAGCAAAGACCTGGAACCAACCCAAATGCCCATCGATGATAGACTGGACAGGGAAAATGTGGCACATATACACCATGGAATATTATGCAGCCATCAAAAACGATGAGTTCTTGTCCTCTGTAGGGACATGGATGAACCTGGAAACCATCATTCTCAGCAAACTGACACAAGAACAGAAAATCAAACACTGCATGTTCTCACTCATAGGGTGGTGTTGAACAATGAGAACACATGGACACAGGGAGGGGAGCACTACACACTGGGGTCTGTTGGGGGGAAATAGAGGAGGGACAGCAGGGGGTGGGGAGTTGGGGAGAGAGAGCACAGGGAGAAATGCCAGATATAGGCGAAGGGGAGGAAGGCAGCAAATAACACTGCCACGTGTGTACCTATGCAACAATCTTGCATATCCTTCACATGTACCCCAAAATCTAAAATGCAATTAAAAAAAAAAAAAAGATTGGGAGGTTAACAAAAAGAGTGGTTCAACTGAGACATTTCTGTTTAATATTTTATGTCTGGTTTTTTGGCGTAAATATCTGATCTGCTATTTATATTCCTAAAGTGGCTCTAAATTACCTTCTAGATGAAAGAACTATCTTTGACAATGATTTTTAAGCCCTGCTGTTTATCAGGCTTTTAATATACAGTTTAAGATACTTCCTCTACAACATTTTCCCTGTTAATCGTTTTCAATACAATCAAATGATCTCCAAATCTACTTAATCCTCCTAACATAAGCAAGCTTCATTCATTCACCCAACAAATACTTACTGAGCATCTACAGTCCAGCACTGGTTTAGATCCTGGGGATAAAGGTCTTGCCCTCAATGAGGAGTTCAGGCAGGGAAGGTACTGGGTATGAAGGGAAGGCAGAGACACTGCCACTCAAATGTATCTACCGTGGCTGGACAGTGATAAATGCTATAGAACAAAACAGAGAAGGCTAGAGTGATTCCAGGGTATGGTAAGGTATCATTTTTAATTGAGGATACCATAGAAGGCATCTTTGATAGAGTAACTTGGGAGCAGAAACCTGAAGGAGGGGAGTAGCCAGTAGCCATGTGACTATCTGGGAGAAAACGATTCCAGGCAGGGGGAACAAGAACAATGGCTCCAAAGCAGGAATGTTTCTGGGCTGATGGAAGCACAGCCAAGAGATCAATGTGATAAAGCCAAGAGACCAATATAAGAGTGAGCACTAGAAGATGTGTACATAAAAAATGTGTCTTATAACATTTTTAATTTAGAGGATTGATATATAAAGCCACTAAACCATTTTACTCAACTTTAAGACTCAAAGTTAAATAATGATCAAGGTGGAATAGACCATACAGCCAATATTAGGCCTGCAGCAATCCATTATTGAAGCATAGGGAAAATGCCCACCACAAGACATAAAATTCCAGAAGTTACACTTGTGAGAAAACTCCCATGGGCTGGTGGTCCCCAGGCTTGTGGAGAAGGAGAGAGATGTTGCCATAGAGTTGTCTAAGGAAGTTGCACAGAACTTCCAGCATCACATATCATCAATGATTCTGCCTCCATTTCTTTCTCTCTAAAAATTTCTATTCAGCTTACTGAAGAAAGTTTCTTTTCTTTTCCTTTTTTTTTTTTTTTGAGACAGAGTCTCACTCTGTTGCCCAGGCTGGAGTGCAATGGCGCGATCTCAGTTCACTGCAACCTCTGGCCTCCTGGGTTCAAGCAATTCTTCTGCCTCAGCCTCCTGAGTAGCTGGGACTACAGGAGCTGGCCACCATGCCTGGCTAAGTTTTTTTTGTATTTTTAGAAGATACGGGGTTTTACCATGTTGGCCAGGATGATCTCCATCTCTTGACCTTGAGATCCACCAGGCTCAGCCTCCCAAAGTGCTGGGATTACAAGGCATGAGCCACTGTGCCCAGCCGAGAAAGTGTTTTAATAATGGAAAATAATGTAAAAGATATGGTTTATTTAAAAAGCTTACTAGGGCATATCTATTTCATCAACTGAAGGCTATGTCTATTTATGGTGATTGTTTGCTAGTCTGCTTTGTTTTCCGTATTTAGCATTAAAAAAAAGTTTTCCCGATTTAAATTGTAATATGCTTTGTAACTACTTTTTAATGTAACAGTATGCTGTGACTATATGCCTATCATTAAATACACTAGATTTTTTTTTCAAAGATTTCCTATTCCACAGATCCCAGAGATGTGTTGTAGTGCCACATATATTGTAACCTGAGAATACAGCTTGAATAATTGATATACAAACTAGTTTTCTAGTTTTTTCAAATCAATCAAGTGTAAGTTCTGCACTCAGACTAAAAGTTGACACTTTGACTCACCCTACACATCATAGAGACACAACACAGGATACTCTTATGATCTCAATGGTCAACCTATAACACATTCCTATTAAATGACTGAAGAAATCATCCAAGTTGTAGACTCAATGCAGATTTTTAGATTAATCCAAAAAAGAATGAATTGATCAAAGAGTTCAGCAATACAAAACAAGGAAAGAGAAAACAAATAATGCTTAATAGCAATGCAAAGACTAAATATGACTATAAAGACTTATGCATTACAAAGGTGTGGTAACTACTGTAGCAAGAAACTTGCGAAAGCTCATGCTGTTTACCCAGGAGACATACTTTTTCCTTACTTCATTGTTTTCTCCAGTTTCCCTCTTCACTTTATACAGTCCCACAAGCATCTTTAAAGGGTCGCGTGTTGCTTTTGGAGTTGCACTTCAGTCCTATGAAAGAAGTAGCACATCATCACTTCATGAGAAAACATTTTAGGATGCTGAGTTATCCAATCTCATCAGTCTCCTTTCCTAACTCATTTTCACCAGAACTACACATAAACAGAAAAACCAGTGAGACAAGAAGGGTGAAAAGAGGTTACTGAAATACAAACTAGAAATTTGAAACTATTAAAATTCCTAGTAGAAACTAGAACACAGAAATAAAGCAAACTCAATGGTCTCCAATAACAGATCAGAACAAAATCTGTAATTTTCACACTCTTTCCACCAAAGAGTTTCCATCTTTCTCTCTCAGCTAAGTTTGAGATAGCTTGGAAGAAATAATATTAACAGCTGTGTGGCTTTATAACTTCAAAGATGTCCTAGTTTGACATTTTTCCATTCAGGTTTTCCTGGTACAGATTCTAGAGGTATAAAAGTGGCCCAGACTGTAAGTTCCAGGCCAAGGAACTGTTTTCATCTCTGTCTCTGACCATTCCCCCTATTTCATCATGGACACTTGCAGTGAATGAATGAGACAGTAACTATGTTTTTAACAGACAACCAGAGATGCTTCATTGGATCTTAAAATTACTTGGGAAACAGTTGAAAAAGCACTGTTTTGAGTTCTTATTTCTTTCTTGAATAATTCTCTTTGGTTGAGATGCCCATTAGCAGTAAAATGGTTCCAATGCGAGTATACCAGAAGGTCTCAGAACTTCCAACAGACGTCCAGGCATTGGTACGCTAGACTAGTGTATCATGACTAGCACATCATAACTATGAGCATTCATAAACGTAAACAGGTTTGCCCCTCAAAAAAAAAAAGAAAATTCACTCATCAAAGTGGCTTCTAGTTATCTTAACACTAGCATCTTATGACTTTAACATAAACATATCTAGCTTTACACTGCATCAGGCATTGTTCTAAGAGCTTTAAGTACATTAATCCAATCCTTATAATGACCTTATGAGGTTGATTCTATATTCTGATAACCCAGATGAGGAAACTTGTTAGGTAAATTGCCCAAAGAAAAGCATTATGCGCTATACTGCTGTTCAAGTTAGGGGTCCCTGGGCAAATGTAATTGTGCAGTAATCTACAGTCTCATCCATTCATTTCACTTTTTCTACTTCTGTCCTGGTATGCCTAGTTAAAGTAGCTTAATGTCTACTTAAATTAGCTCTTGAAAATCTTTCCTTATTAATAATTTACTGAAAAACAACTTCTAATTCTCCCTGACTTAAAGCTCATCTTTGCTTATTTTTTAAAAGTTACCCTTTGGGAGACTGAGAAAGAGGACTGCTTGAGACCAGGAGTTCAAGACCAACCCAGGCACCATAGTGAGACCACAGTCTCTACAAAAGTTTTTTTAAAAAAAATAGCCAGCATGATGGCATGCACCCATAGTCCAAGCTACTTGAGAGGCTGAGGCAGAAGGATCACTTGAGCCCAGGAGTTCAAGGCTACAGTGAGCTATAATCATGCCATTGCACTTCAGCCTGGGCAACAGAACAAGACCCTATCTCTAAATAAATAAGTAATCCTATGAACCTCACACAGAGGAAACCTAATTTTGTGAAAGTCAGAAGCAATAATTATTTTAAGCTGAATACTTATATTTATCTACTACTTTAGCTTATTACATTTATTCCAAATATTTTTGTGCTTGCCAGATCCCTTCTAACTTTAAAATTGCAACAACCTTACTCAAGCAAGGCAGTAGTCCAGTTGACTGGTTGATTCACATGATGCCAAAAGCTATGGATTCAATCCCTGATAGACCAGTTAGCTTTGTTTGCTTCACATCTACAGATTTTTAGTCTGAATAGCATATTTTGGATCATAAGAGGAACCAGGTAGGAGTGTGGAACACAATGTTTGCTGGAGAAACAAGTCCCCATAAAACAGCACTGACTGTGGGCCAGAAGCAACAGCCTCATTCATAAAGAAAAGCTTAATAATAACTGGCAAAACACTTCTAGCTTTCTGAGTAAGAAGCTCTTCTCAGATCATTTGCCAGAATATAGCCTACAGCTCCTCCTTCAAAAACAAAACAGATGAGATAAAAATAAAAAATTCATGTTTTTTGTTTTTGCACAGACTCTGCTTGACTGATCTGAATACAATTTTCTCATTCGTGACACCAATGCCACTGACAGTAAAAAAAGCATTTGAAATTATTTTAGAAAGTATCACAAAAATCTCTAGCAGTGCAGCATACAAAACCAACAGAAAAACCTGACTGCAATTTTGTAAGTATGTCTTAGATTCTTTTATAGTTCCTTTACACTTTTCATAAAACCAAAAAATTATTCCATCTCCAAATAAAATAAAGTTACTTTAAACGTGCTTTTTCTAATTAAATGAAGGAAGCAATATCAAACCAATCTGGTCTGATAAATTGTAAAACAACCCCAGACCCATTCAAGGTAGAGAGAGGCTTTACCAGTTTCAACAAATAAAAATGAAACAGTGAAACTATATTCCTTAACTGTTAGTTTAGGGAGAAACCCACTTGGGATCATCAGTCTTCACATTTTCCTGTCCACAGTTGGAAAGAACTTCCCAATGTACCTGCCTCAGCCTCCTGAGTAGCGGGATTACAGGCACGCGCCACCATGCCCAGCTAATTTTTTGTATTTTTAGTAGAGACGAGGTTTCACCATGCTGATCAGGATGGTCTCCATCTCTTGACCTCGTGATCCACCCGCCTCAGCCTCCCAAAGTGCTGGGATTACAGGCTTGAGCCACCACGCCCAGCCCTATTAGCCATTTTTAAATGTACAATTCAGTGGCATTTAGCACATTCACAATGTTGTGCAACCATTACATTTACATGGTTCCAAAATATTTTCATCACCTCAAAATGAACCCTGAACTCATTAAGCAGTCTCACTCCTATTCCTCCTCCTCCTCCTCCTCCTCCTCCTCCTCCTCCTTCACCTCCTCCTCCTCCACCTCCTCCTCCTCCTCCTCCTCCTCCTCTTCCTCCAACTCCTGAAAACTACTAATATGCTTTATGTCTCTATAAATTTACCTCTTGTGGATATTTCATATAAATGCAATCAAACAGTATGTGACCTTTTGGGTTGGCTTGCTTTCACTTTGCTTAATGTTTTAAAGTTTATCTACACTGTAGCACGGGCAGTACTTCATTACTTTTATGGCTGAAAAGTATTCTACTGTGTAGATGTACATCTTGCTTACCTACTCATTCACTGATAGACATTTGGGTTGTTTGTATTTTTCGGCTATTGTGAATAGTGTTGCCAAGAACACCCGTGTACAAGTATTTGTTTGAATACCTGTTTTCAATTACTGGACATATAACTAGGAGTGGAATTGCTGGGTCATATGTTAATTCTATATGGAACTTTAAAACTACTAAACTGTTTTCCATGGTGACTTCACCATTTTACATTCCCACTAGCAAAGTACAAGATTCTAATTTCTCCACATCCTTATCAATGCTTGCAATTTCCTAGTTTCATTTTGTTTTTAAAGTACAGCCATCTTAGTGGGTGTGAAATGGTATATCGTTGTGGCTTTGATTTGCATTTTCTTAATGACCAATGACCCTGGAAATATTTTCATATGGTTTTGGCCATTTGCATATCTTTAGAAAATGTCTACTCCAGTCCCTTGCCCATATTTTAATTGGGTTATCTGTTCTGTTGTTCACTTGTTAAGAGTTTTTTTGTTAGCAGATTTGCAAATATCTTCTCCCATTCTGCAGGTTGTCTTTCCACTTACTTGACAGTGTCCTTTGAGGCAAAATTTTAAAATCTGATGCAGTCCACTTTATTTTTCTTTTGTTGCTTGTGCTTTTGGTGTCATTTCTAAGAATTCATTACCAAATCCAAGGTCATGAAGATTTACCCTTATATTTTCTTCTAAGAATTTATAGATTTACCTCTTAGAATTAGGTCTTTGATCCATTTTGAGTTAACTTTAGTATGTGTGGGGTCCAACTTCATTCTTTTGCACGTAGATATCCAGTTTTACCTGCACCATTTGTTAAAGAGATTATCCTTTCCCCAGTGAATCATCTTGGCACTATTCTCAAAGATCACAGATGTATGGGTTCATTTCTGGACTCAGTTTTATTACACTAATCTACATGTCTATTCTTATGCCTGTACCTATTTTGATTATTACAGCTTTGTAGTACCTTTTGAAATTGGGAAGCATGAATACACAAACTCTGTTTTTCTTTTTCAAGACTGTTTTGACTATTCAGGGTCCCTTGCAATTCTATGTGAATTTTAGGATCAGCTTTCCTATTTCTGCAAAAATAGCTACCAGAATTTTGGTCAAGACTGCACTGAATCTTTAGATTACTTTGAGTAGTACTGCCATCTTTATAATACTAAGTCTTCTAATCCCTGGATGTCTTTCCATTCTATGAGTAATTTTAAGGTTATCTTAAAACGTCTTTGATAAGGTGATACACTAACTTCTTTAGTTGTCTGTATGTCTATGGTAATTTACTAATATCCTGGAGTACATCACAAATATGAAATTTACACTTGCCATTGGTAATCCAAAATTCATACTCTAGAGAATGAGTGTAAATTATGTAGCATCTTACTGTTTTGTTTGCTTTGGGCTATGAAAAAGGTTTGAACTTAAGGATTTTCATTTTCCTCATTTATAATTAAGTTCCATTATCTTCAGTTCCCAGTAGAGGAATAGAGACGCATGAAGCTTATTTATTTGTTCACTGATAAGAGTTAAGCTGTTTAGCAGACTTCACAGAATGGTATCAGGAACTCTTTTTCATGTAGCTCAAATCCCCCCAGATTGATTATGTAACATTAGCTACTCTGCCAAAGATTTTGCTCACAGAAGCTTGAGAGTCAAAGCTTAAAGTATCAACTATAATTGGACAAGGTGTCGGGAGGGAGGAAGGTTTTTAAAAGTCTTTTCTCTAAAAATTTTTGGCTAAAGTCTGTGAAAGAACCATCACTTGACATTATAAAGGTAACCTAGGCTGGATACGATC